ATAACAAGATAAACCAACATCAAGACAAAGACTCCTTGGATCGACTTTTAAAGACACCCAATAGCCTCTCACCAGCACAGCGGCAACACGGTACAGGCAAGGCAGCACCTCCCTTCCCCCTGTAGCTTCTTCCTCCCCCTCCTCTTCTAATCCTTGTTGCTCCCTCATCCCACCCACTCCTAAACCTCCCACCCCACCCCAACAAAGTTATCTCCCCAACACAAGCACAACCCCGCTCTGGTACATATCTCCTCTTCCCACTCACTCACCCAGCCGCCCACCCGCCCGCCCACTCTAAATTAGCCTCCGCCTTCACCCTAACAGACGCTGCAATAAAAGGTATCCCACACTCAATCACCAACTTGGTTGAGTTGAGCTAAGTTGAGTTCTATCCAAGGCCCTGCGAGCCATCCTCCTCCCGGCTGTAAAACCTGGCCCAGAATATGTTTACATCTTGCGTGTGTCTGGGTTAACTTTTGGTTCCCTCGCTACGCTTTTGTTTTTGATGTTCCTATAACGAAAAGGAAACTTGTTGTCGGGTTTAGATTTCGGTGTTATGAATGTCCGAGTCACTGAACTTAGTGTCTCGCTGCCAATAACTTTTGAAGGCTTAGAAGAGTCTGATAAAGATGAGTCCTTCTGTTAATGGGTGAGAGTGGACCAACTATTAATGTGGATTATTTCGGTGTTTGTTTTGTTAACGACATTTACCTCATGTAGAGAAAAGGGAAGACGTGACGATTAGACATCCTAAGTTATTACACTTGAGAATTAATCACCCAAGCCTAACCTAACCTAACCTAACCTAACCTAACCTAACCTTTAGCTGCTCCGAGAAAGTAACATCATATTACTGTGGTTTAACTTGGACTACTTAATGTGTTAGGAGATGGAGGGAGGAGGGTGGGGTGATGAAGCGAAGAGGAGGGAAGAAGGAGGTAATGGAGAAGCGACAGAGGTGGAGGTGGTGGAGGGAGAAGGGAGGTAGGGAGGAGGAGGAGGAGGTGGGGTGATGAAGGGAAGAGGAGGGAAGAAGAGGTAATGGAGAAGGAGAAAGAGGTGGAGGTGGTGAGGTAGAAGGAGGTAGTGGGAGAGGAGGAGGAGGAGGAGGTGGGGGGGTGATGAAGGAAGAGGAGGAAGAAGAGGTAATGGAGAAGGAGAAAGAGGTGGAGGTGGTGAGGTAGAAGGAGGTAGTGGGAGAGGAGGAGGAGGAGGTGATAGGCAATCCTTACCTCGAGTGAGCTTTTAAGTGCAGTTGTACAGTACATCTCGTTTAGTTTCTTGTGACAGACGGGAAGACAAGTCATTGTTTTGTGTTGATACAGCTGGCCCTCAAAAATCCCTGGACATTTTAGTCACTATTTGGCATCATCGACTTGAGGTTCCTGTACTGTGATTATTTACTGGGATGTCGAGTAGCTTTCATCAGCAATAAACCAAGTTCATCAGCTATAAACCAAGTAACGTTCACCAGCTATAAACCAAGTAACGTTCACCAGCTATAAACCAAGTAACGTTCACCAGCTATAAACCAAGTAACGACCCACAAATCCATGCTAAATATTATTAAGTTGTCAAGGGAATATTGACCTTAACAATACGTACAAGAAAGCATTCAGGAATATTTCAACAACACGAGATCCTGAGTTTATTTTGGTTAAGTGGCTTCAGCCGTCTTTGATTCCTCTATTGCGTCTCTGATTCCTCTTCTCTCGTCGATAGGTCAGAGTATTTTTTTTTTCTCTCTCTCTTTCATTCGACAACTGGCAGGAGTTACAAGCAAGGAAACGGCCACTTAAACACTTGAGGCTGAGGTGCGAGAGAGAGAGAGAGAGAGAGAGAGAGAGTTCCGTTTTATTCAGAAAAATCGTCATATACAAGTTTGCATTGATTCAGGATGTATATAGACAATGTAGGTATAGAGTTAAGAACGTATATAGACAATGCATGTACTGTATACATTTGAGCATGTACAGTCCCCTTCACTTGTGCGTTTACAGGGACTCGTCAGGTTTTGTGCAGTGTGGCAGCCCTGTGTTTGTTGACTTTCGACAGAAGGAAACACGCAATAATAAACACACTATGGAATCAAACTAAAACAGTATTAAAATCTCAATGTAATGATTTGTGGGAATGTTTACATAACGAGCCCCTGTAAACGCACTAGTGAAGGGGTCTGTACGATATACAGAAAATCCTGGTATACAGTTCAGCATGTATATAAACAGTGCAGGTAAACAATTGAGCATGTACACAAACAATGGATGTACACGGTATATATGGACACAGTACAGGTATACCGTCTACCATTGTGTAATGAGTAAATGGCAGATACGGTACATACGAGGTCAAGTACTATTATATGGCTGAGCTCTGCGTGGACACCTTCATGAGATACCACACGTGAAGGACTGGTCATGTTCGTCTCCACTGCGTTACTAAGAGACGATAAACAATGAGAAACGTGTAATGGGAGGTGGTGGTGCATAGAAGGTGAAGGAAGAGGAGTGGTGGAAAAGGAGGAGGAGATGAAGGAGTAGGAGCTGATGGAGGAGACAGTGGAGGAAGAGGTGGAAGAGGAAGAGGAAGAGGAGGAGGAGGAGGTGTCGCTGTGTCGGTAAGAATCATGGTACACACTTACTGTCACTTCTGGCCGCTAGACGGAACAGTTAAGAGGAAATTCACGTCAGTCGTTTTTTCAATTATCGCCCCTGTTATTGTACCATTATGTGGGGGGGGGACGAGGGGAGGGGAAGTGGGGAGGTTAGGTGGGAAGGAGGTAAGTAGGGAGGTACGGCGAAGGCAGAGAGGGGAGATGGGGAGCAGTAAGAGTGGGGGGTGGTAGGAGAGAAGGTGGGTTAAAGGCACAGACCAGAAAGGGTGGGGAGGAAATGAGGAGATATGCAGAGATTAAGAGAAGAACTGGGGAGATTAAGAGGGTAGAGGGGAGAGTTAAGGAGATAGAAGACACTCTTAGAGAATTACTGGGGAGGGAGGGAAGAGTATGAGAGATGTGGGTGCAGCAAGGAAGGCAGGAGAGACGCTGGGGAGATTAAAGAGATGGGGAGACTAAGAGAGATCTGGGAGGAAGGGGGAGATAAGAGGTAGGATTAGGGGAGATTCGGTCGTGAGTCAAAAAGAGAAAGAGTCCGAGAGAGAGAGAGAGAGAGAGAGAGAGTTACCATTACAACACATGGAGCAATTTTTATTTCAGCTGTTCAGAGGAAGATGTATCATTGGTCGCCAGCCTCCCAAAGTTGACCATTTGCGATGATTCCCGCTAGCTTGGTCGGTCGATAAATAAATAAATACAAAAATCACCACACCCTCCCTCACCACCACAACACCACCTCCTCACCTCACTGGGCCAAATACCCACACCCCTACCAATGCCATTGAATGCTTTTTCACACCCTCCTCACTCACTGGCCAACACTACACCCCTCCCTCACCACCAACACTGCACCCCTCACCACCACAACACTACACCCTCCCTCACCACCACAACACCACACCCTCCCTCACCACCACAACACCATGACCCTCACCACCACAACACTACACCCTCCCCTCACCACCACAACACACACCCCTCACCACCACCTCATACACCCTCCCTCACCACCACACCACGAAGACCCCTCCTCACTCACAAACGCCACAACCTCACCACCACAACACTACACCCTCACCACCATTAACACTACACCTCTCACTCACTATTAACACCACACACCTCCTCACTCACCACAACACTCACACCTCCCTCACCACCACAACACTCACACCTCCTCCCTCACCACCATTAACACACA